CGAGTTTGTCTCCGAGCATTTACAGCAAATTCAAACATATCACGTTTTGAGTGAGAAAAAATGATTAAATAGTCCAATAAGATTTATGAAATAAAGCCCTGTGTCTGCGATCGTTCCGAATTACAAGAAGCTTGTGTAAATGCAAAATGGAAATAATAATGCTAATAATAATAATCCCAATGACCTAGTGACCTTGTCTGCGAGCCTTTATGGCAAACTCAGACATATTCAAAAAAGTATTGCTCATCCCTGACTGTAAGTAACACGAGTCAGTAAATCATACGTAGTACAGTAGATATTGGGCGACATTGTTGTTTATCTTAAGAATAGCTTGAATGAGAAATCTCGCGAAAATTTTTAGAATGTGAACACGTTTAGCAATAAGAAAAGATTACAAAGCGAAATCCTCATACTTGACACTTATATTTCCTACTGAAATTAAGAACTCCTGCTGGGTTTGACCTATTAACGTCCTTTTAATGGTCAACTGAAGTTTTCATAAAGACTTTTCTAGAAAACAAGGTATAATGAATTAGAAGAAGCAATTAGCTGAAGTCAATCTAACTACCAATCCCTCCCTAATTAACACAATATTCGCGATTAGATTTCAAGTTGAAGATGTTATCGAGTCTCAAATTTTAGCAACTTTTAGATTAATTTTGTTAAAAAAATCATTTGAAAATGAAAATTATGACAGCTAGAACCAAAAAAAAAAACTCCGTACTTTCCTGAATCGAAAAGATGTGCATCCTCTTACAATAATTCAATTTGTCATTTAATATGTACGAAGTGACACCAGCAAAGCTGGGCAAAGAATGATGATTTTTTACTTAAATGAAACAAATAGTTTCTGAATTATTTATGACGTTACAACCTCATACCGCTAAATATATTTTAACATATTATCTCTGACTACAACTACTGTCTACAGCGTTATGTCGAGAACCTCGAGTCCAACACTTCAAAAAATGTGGAAATGATTAACTTCTTGGAACAGTACCATGAAGCGAGCCATCTCCAAGAAAGGCCAAATGTATGAAAAAGGTGAGTTTCTATTAATCAATATGATGCCTTGCAAATGACAACAAGCCTGAGATAATTTTACCATTTTTTCAAACGTCGAATTGCGAATTAGATATTGCTATCTAATTTCGAGGAAACAGTGATTGTTTTTGAAGAACAATGTTTCCTAGTAACCTTGAGTTTTAATATATCTACCTTAATTAAAACAGCGTTTCTTAAAAAGACAGCCACAACCTTTTACCACTATTACGGGCTTACCGCAGGCTCCATTACATTACATAACATCGTTTCAAGCTAGTATCTTATTGTGCGAAGTTTCTTTCCGCCGTATTTTCCACGTTATTCCACTTTAGTAAAATCCAACTAGTGGTCTATTATCAATGCTGCGTTCGGATGGGTTGAGCTACTACTAGGCTATATGTTATAGCCCACTAGTAGCGAAAAGCGCCGGCTTTTTGGCAAAAAAAAAGGATTAAAGTCTAGCTTTAACTAGCTAAATTTTTTTTATTCTCGATATTCTTGACCAACTAGTTGGATTTTACTAAGACAATTATTCCTATCGCCCTCATTGCCTCTGAGTCAATAGCCCATTCAGCCTCATGGGCTTTTGACTCAGAGCCCATTCGGGCTCGAGGAATAATTGTTAAAAATTTGGGATCGTTAGGTTTGCCCTGGCTTGCGAGTGACGGACCAATCATTAGAATCATCTATGACCGAATATTTATTCTTCTTTTTCTTTTTTGTTTTTCATACCTTTGTTTTAACATCTGAAATAAATCTCTCTTTTATGATCACTATATCTTTTAGGGCATACTATTTTAAGATTAATTAAACTGCGGTTGGTTTTCAAGCTAGCTAATCAGGCATATATGGGGAATGTGGTATAGTTTCGTTAAGACCAATTTTTTTACCTTATTAGCAAGCAAAAATATTTTCACGTAGGGAGACCCACTGAAACATTTTCAAGGAAAAATAGGGGAAATCTATGAATTCATAAGCTGTTAAAACCATCTGTAAAGGTTTTTCCGCCGCATGAATTTGGGGAAAAAATGTATATACAGTATAAAACTTTCTTGATCAATTTTCTGCTCAGTTCTTCTCTTAAAAATTTACAAGCATGAAGACTAACGGCTGCGAGCATGAATACGGCACCATTTTTAGCACTTGAACATGTCGTTCGAGCAGCCAATATAGAGCGTTTTAACTCAAGGCAACTGGCAGCTGTGTTTGTTTATTGGCACGAGATTGAGCTGGTACTGATTCCAATATGGTTTCTGATTCGTGGTTTTCGTTACAAAAAAACTAATTTGTCTAACCTGACAGCACTCGAAAACGCTTTATAGCCCGGCTGTTACCGACCAAAATTGTTCACTTTTAAGATAAAAGCATGACACTTCGCCAAATTGCAACTAACCCTAAGAGTAACATTTTTGGATATGGGTCCAACCCTAATTTACCATGCCACTGGACACTAGTACTGCGCAAGCCCTAAAAACAGCCACAGTTTTCTTTATTCAAAGCAAACATGTGAACGACCAAATGTAGCAGGCCGTTTAGTCCAGTAGCCGAGGTAGGAAAATTGGTCTTTAGAATTCGTTCAACCCA